TTAATATTTAAATTTTTTAAACTTTATTCCCTTGTTTTATACTAACCCATAGCCTTATTCTACTAACCCATTGCATTAGCATTTCATTCCACTTTATTTTATTACTTGTGCACTGTCGTCTTGTCTGTCTACTGTCGCGCACTAACCGCCAAGACAAATTCCTTGTATGTTTGACATATTTTGGCTAATAAATGTTTCCTGATTCCTGATTCCTGGTCCTGCAGCCAGTGAACCTCTGTGAACCCGAGATTCTAATAAGAGATGCAAAGATTGACATTAATAATTTGTCTATCACTATTGTGCACACCTGCTCTCTGATAAAACAATGCGTTTTCTATGATGAATTTCTTTGTTTCTCTTTCTTGAAAAACTACATTTGGTGCCTGGAGGCCTGAAGTGATGCTTGATTCACACCTCACAGCACACGACACCTGCGTCCTGCGAGGGAGGATGATGTCATAGTGCACCGTAACCAAAATAATCGTTAATAAAGATGAAAGCAGCCGGATCCTAAAGTTGGGGAACTTCTTAGTCGTGTGCGTCAGGTAACTCTCGGTTTTAGTGGGAAGATCAAACAGGAAGTGGAACCTCGCAGCGAGTTTGCTCTGACTCGGCGTTGAAGAATGAAGCCAGGCGGCTTCATGCGACATGAGGCTTTGTGCGCTTGTTGGTTCTTTTCGAATGAGTCAGCACAGAAGAAAGCACCATCACTCTACAGCACGTAAAATATGTTGGGTATGTTGTCGCTCTGCAAGTGGAAATACAGGTTTCCTCTCATGTTGACATGAGGTGGTTTATTTTGGAAATTTCGGGGCTTTAGCAACCGAGAGGAATCACGCTAAGATCAAAATAGGACAAAAAAAAGTATTCTTTTACGGCCAATCATCATAAATAAAGAAAGTATTTATATATTTATATATATATATATATATATATATATATATATATATATATATATATATATATATATAAACATGGTGTTTATACAGAACATTTTAATTCCCGTGGATCCCCTGCCAGCTGACCCTGCTCCTTCTTTATGGCTGGTGTCTCTCTCTCTCTCTCTCTCTCTGCTCCACTCACTCCTCTGTTTATGTTTACACGGCTGTCACCGTGGCAACAACGGCCTTCACACCCTGCGGACTTCCACCCCTGGAACGCAGACAGGCAGACAGACGGGGGGGAGGCAGTCTGAGAGGGAGGAAAACCTCCACCAGGGCCGCATTCCATTCTGAAAAGTCCAAGTCTTCAGTTAATGTTCCGTTTTCATTATTTGTCGGCCAAATGTTAGGTTTGGATTCAATATTGTAAATATCACAATAATAAACATGATAAACAAAGACCTTTAAAAGACGCAGCTATTTGTGTGACACATTTTTAAGGATATAGTAAGAATTGAGCTGTGAATCGACATCCTCATAACCTTGAAAGCGTTCTTTAACTTCTTTTTCACCTTAATCACATTATAATACTTTACACCTTCAGATGTCAGAACTCGCAATCATTGGAAGTTCCTCAGGTCTTTCCTACCTCCTTCACAGAGGAAACACAGCGGGGCGAGGAGCCGGGGGAGCGCGCAGCGTTTTGAAATGGGACGTGTCCCAGGGTTCCCAGGCTGCAGAGGCCTCTGCACGCCGCGTCACATCCTCCCGAGCCGCTATTTTTAGATTGTGTGTAAACTGTTGTGTGGCCTCGGCAGCTGCAACACACACACACACACACACCTTATTTTAAGTATCAGTGACGTTCAAACACTGCTGGTCTTTATTTGTCCCATAGTGGCATTTAAGAGACATTACATCATGCAGATATGTTACGGTGTAAATAGACTCGTCGTCACGGATGACGTGTCTGATCCGCCGGCTGACATTAGCACATTAGCACAATATACATTAGTATATTGTGTGTTTATGTCACACATGATGTGAAAACAATCACTCGTAGAGGAATCAATCCTCTTCCTTGAAGTTGCCTCAAAGTTAAAGTCAAACTTCTGGAGCCGCTTCCTGATTCCAGCGCTCAGAGAGACGCTTTCATCTCCACAATCATGACTGGGCATGTTGCTTTGTCGACTCTTTCCCCGTCACGGATTTGTATTTGTTTGTTTGGTTGTTTCCTCCTTTCGTTTGCCTCCTCGCAGAATGAAATCAGACTCGCTTTGTGAAATCTCTTCTGAAGATGAAACCGTTGTATTTTACGTTTATAATCCTCCAACATTGGTTTTCCCATGTTTGTGTACATATCATATTTTCTTTTCACATTTCAATTTAAACTTCTTCATTTTCTATTTCACATCCATCTGCGGGTCACTTGCACCCATTCGGGGGCTCAGGTGAGATGACATCACCGGCCTCCCGATCGGCAGCGTGACCTCATCCTGCATCATCATCAATTCCCAACCAGGGGATCCGATGGCGTCCAACCAGCGCCGGCCCCGGATCATCGGGTAAGGAGGCCTGACGCCCCCTCAGCCAATCAGAGCGCAGAGCACCGCCTGCTGCTGTTCGGAGGGGGGGGGGGGGGGGGGGGGGGAACCAAAATGTGGAAAACCACACCCCCCCCCAACCCCGGCGGTGGCCCGACTTCCATTTTAAGGGCTAAAAAGGCCCCGAGGAAGAGGGAGAGGGAAGGCCTTCCAACCACTCTGAGGGCGGCGGTTAAGAGAAGAACGAAGAAAGTTTGGGTTCCAAAAAAATAAAGGAGGAGAGGATGATCTCAGTGCGTGTGATTCATCGCCAGGAGTTACTCGTGAGTCACCAGCGGACCCAGAGACGCACTGACAATCCGATGATACTGGAAAACACTGATCTGAACTCTGTGATTGTTTAGTTTCACGGTTTAACGCGCACGTGTCTGAGCGTTGGAGCGGTGAGGATTATGGGAGCAGAGGTAACATGCGGGATGCAGATGATGGATTTGCAGGAAAGTCAGGTTTGGTTGTGAGGCAGTGAAGGTGCGATGTGACGTCACCTCCCTTCACGACGAGCTCCTGCTTGTTTTGTTTTGCTTCCCGGCTGATGAAAACCCGTCGGGTCGGATTGCGTCACATCATGTGATCATGTGACCAGACGATGGTGGTATAACGAGGACGCTTGATATTCACCTGATTGTATAGTTTTGCTTGTAGGTTCTTTCTTATGAACAAAGGTTGCAGAACTAGTTATTATTATTAAGAGTGGATGTTGTTAGTTGTGGTTTGCTAAAAAATTAACATTTTAAGGAAGCAATAATTAGTATTTACGTTTAAAAGTGAGTTTTAGCTTAAATTCTGTAAAACCGTCCCATGATCCTTTGTGGTAAATCCAATTTGTTTCTACATGAACTTCTCATAAACGTGATTGAATCTAAAAAACAAAAACAACATCAAGTTAAAACTTGTCGAGTCACACTGATGATGATGATGATGATGATGAAGGCGGGCACACCTGACGGGAACGACACACAGAGAGGAGGAACAAAAGTTCAAACCAAGTCGTCTAATTTGAGTTTTAGTTTCTGCGGCGTCTGACTCATCAAATGAGGCCTTTTTTCCTTCTTGGAGGGACAAAGGTCGCATTCAGTAACTCTGTGATGCTGCTGGTTCAAGAGCCGCTTTCGCCTCTTTGTGAGGCCAGACATCATTTCGTCACCACATATTGTGTCGACGGTCAGCTGACCGGTGGCTCTGTGTTTAGGAAAACTGTCACATTACACATCACATGAGCTTTTTCCTTGTGTGTGTGTGTGTGTGTGTGTGTGTGCTGATGACAATGAGGACATCTCATTGGTCCCCTTCAGGGTTTCTGGGTCAGTTTGAATAAAGTCCAGGTTGAAGTTTAACACGTTCAGGGGAAGAAGCGCTGGTCCCCACAACGTACCCTGGGAATGTTCATACATGCTCATACGGTCAAATACACCACAAACTGTTCAGTGCGACAGGGTTTAATGGTGCTACGTCATAGAGAATACACAGGTCCTCCCAACGGTAACTTAACACCGATGTTACCTTGTTTAGGTTACAAACAACATAATGGTTCAAAGGTTACATTTATACGATGTGTGCCCCTTTGCTCCATGTGCTCCATGTCCATTTTATCGTATGACATCAGTTTTATTTTGAATTGTTATTAATTCCATAAAGCTCTGGTTACTGAGTAGCAACACTTATCTTTGATTTGCTTGTTTCCAGAGGAGGAAACACAATGACTTCCTTTAAATATCTCAACAGTCTGTCATCACAGTCGAGGCCCACGTTAGATTGAACATGTGCAGATGCTTAACGAGGAAACCTTTTAATTAATTATTATTTAGGTACGTTACTTAATACATACGTTGGCACACAAGCAGTTTTTCTTCACCATCTGATCAACCACCAACAAACACAACTCCATCTTTCATCCTTCGGTATCCATCCTACGGTAAAAGTAGGTTAGCGGAGACAATGACATCATCTTTTGAGTCACAGTGAATGTCATTATGTGCTCGGTTACACACACACACACACACACACACACACACACACACACACACACACCTGAACTGATATTGAATTAAAATGATTTAAACAGATTTGTAATTAAAAGTGTCGCGACGGGTCCTGATCAATAGAATGAAGTTGATGATTGATCAGCTCGGCGCTCTGAAGTCGTGTGTGTGACGTCTCTTTTTTCCGTCAGCTGTTCCCATTGTTTGTTCTTCCTTCCTGATAAAAGCTCCTTCAAAGTTGCACCGCGATCTGATCTGCGTTTCTGTCGGCCGGAGGCCAGAAGGAAAACTTCTGGGGAATATGAAACACAATCTCCTGCGTAAGAGGAACATTTTTATATTCCGCATTGGTTTGTTTTTTTATTGTTGTGCCTAATTGATTTCCTCCTCTGCTGACTGGCTATGAGTCAGCCGTTTACCAGCACAGCGAATATTTGTCAGCACCAGTCGACGTCCTGCTGACACAACGTTAGAAAACTTATGAAGGTTTTTGAAGTTTATGAAATATTTAAAAGCTCAGATTGAACCAACAAAAGTATTTTAAATCATACTTTATTATCTTCAATATATTTCTAAAAACGAACATACATTTTAGCTTTCATTCAGGATATTATGCTTCACAAAGGCATAACGTGGATTACTGTACAGAGATCTACATTCTGATGAGAAACAAACTCATCTGATCTCCACAAACACGGCGCAGACGTCTCATTACTTTATTCATTAATCACCCGATTATCTGTCCTTCGCGTTGTGGCACCAGAGCTGAACTCATCAACCGAAATGAGAAGAAAAACTGTAGAAACAATTCAAGATGGAAGAAAAATGGACCTAAATACATTTCGGGACATTGTTTGTATAAAGTAAAGCTCTGAAGGGATTTATGATGTAAATCACGCTTGATAGATTTGTTTTGGGCTTTGAATAACTATAACTAATAACAAAAAAACAAATCCAGTGAAACAATTGAGAACGAAGGAGGCGTAAACACTGAAACACACTGCAGGATTTCATTCCCAAACAGTGTCAGTTACTGTAGGACATGAAGTAGGATGAGAGACCAAATCCAGGACTCAAGTTAAACACGGGAGGGAACCTGTTGGAATGAAGCCTTTCGTGTGAAGTCAGAAAGCAGAAGAGCAGCGACTCCTTCTGGTGAAGAAGAGGAACCAACAGGTTCTGCACCACGTTGGTTTCTAACTGTTTTCTTAGGTGAACTGCGGTGCTGTTTTTCTTGGATGGAAAAAGAGAAACTACACATCTGTGCTCTCTGAATAATCGATGCCACTAAAACATTCTGATCAGCTTCTTTCTCCTTAAATGGTGTTTTTCAAACTTCAAAAAGTAAAAAAATAAAGACAAGCCCCTGTGGAGGTGAACAATGGTCAAATTTTCTGTTAAAATTTAACAACACAAAGAAATCACAACTTAATCGGCCCAACACATTCACCGAAACCCCGGAACCCGTTGCAGGGAAAACGAAAGCCGTCGAGACGCCGAAACCGAGTCGATCTGCAGAGCGAACCGCCCTGAGGATCATCCCGTCGCGTCAACACAATCATCTGACGCACCACCTTCATTGAAGAGGCTAAACAAGACTCCACTTCCCATGATGCAGTTGTTCGAGGGGTGAACCACAGGCTCCTCTCCCTCCGCCGGGTTAATAGTCCATGATGGCCGCTGCCGCTCGCCTGCAGGGCTCTGAGGAGAAACGCGTCTCGCAGAGAGGAAGGAGGGCTTTCATCATTCCTGCTTTCATTCTTCTTCCTCCTCCTCCTCTTCTTCTTCTTCTCCTGCTCGGTGGATCACTTCTGCAGGTCCTGCGGAGTGCTGAACGTTTCGTAAACGTTGGCGGCGAACTCCTTCACCTGGTCGTTCATCAGCAGGTCCTGAAGAGACAGTCAGGATTCATTCTGCTCTTAGTGTTAAAACCAGGTGAGAATCACCCTGGTGGGTTTACGGAGAGAAGGAACTCATTGGAGTCACATCCTGCCGGGTCTATTACGTCTTCTTTTAGCTCTGCTGCTCTTGGGGACGTTTGTTTGTCTCACCTGGACGAAGTGGCTGGGAGTCTCACTGCAGATGTAGTTGACCTGACCGTTGACGATGGGGATGATCTTGGCCACCGGCAGGCTGACGGCAGACAGACTGGATGGGAACAAAAGAGGTTGCGTAGAGGTCAACATGGAGGCCGGTGCTCTGACTTTAAACACTGTTTCCTGTTAAAGGACAAGAATCCATCCGTCATACCTGTGGGTTTCACCATGGACAATAAGGCAGGACACAATATTTTGCCATGTTATAAGAACTAATGTGTTTACACAATGTAAAATAAAAAATAAAAATCAGGATCAGCTGACTTATCAGGTGCAAGGCCGGGGGCGGAGTCACCGGGAGGAGGGCGGAAGAACTCGGCCAGGTTGTCGAGGAGACGGGAGAAGCCCCGGTTCAGACTGACGTTGAGGACGGTGGTGAAGTCTGGACTGGAGTCACACAACGACACACACATCAGAGTCACACACACACCACAGCCCCTCCCCCCCCCCCCACACACACACACACACACACACACTACCTGTCCAACATGTCTCTGGTCTCGTTCAGCAGTCTGATGGTCACGGTGTCGTTCTTCGTCAAACCGCACGCCTGCACAGACGAGACCTGTTAAACATTTTTATTAAAATCGTTTGGTGTGCATGTGCATGTATGTGCAGGTATGTGCATGTGCGTGCGTGGTTGTCGGGGGCAACCTGGTCGGCGAGAGCGTTCTCGTCGTCGGCCAGCATGTACCGGGACATCAGGCCGGCCTCCACCTCCGCCCGGATCCAGCTGAGCTGCTGCTCCACCTCTAGCAGAGACAGGCTCTGCTTCAGAGGCACGCTGAAAACAAAGCGGGGGGGCAGAGGGGGCGGCAGGGGAGTGAAGGGTGTCATCTTTAAACTTCCTAACCATTTCACGACGAGTATAAAATACAAATAATGAACAAACAAAGAGACTCACTCTCCCAGAGAGCTCTGCACCGCTTTCTTCACCACGGTCATCAACTCCATCAGACCTGTCGGGGGGGTGCGAGGGGGGGGCGACATAGGAAGGTGAAGATCAAACAGACATGAACAAGTATTTTAAGACATGTGTGTGGGTGCGTGAGTCTTACCGTCTCCCAGCAGATGTTGGATGCTGGACAGGTACTGCTGCTGGACGTCCGGCGGAGCCAGAGGAGTCTGACAGATAAAACAATGAATAAATGTAAAATAATTACAAAGAGGCCGAGAGTCACCAGTGAACCGAACGCCCGGAGCACAACGTGCAGACTCCACACAGCTGCATGAGGAAAACTATTTGCGAATAAATATTTGTGGTTTAAGAGAAGTGACAGAACCGTAAAAACGTGTCAAGGCTTCATGTCAGCAGGAGGAAAAACATCAGGACTCTACTTTCAAACTAACAGAGACGCTCCTCACCGTCGTGTTCTTGCCCGCGGAGTTGTCCAGGTACAGGTACCCGCCGATGATGTTCAACTGGACCCTCAGCAGGACCACCAGCATGCAGGTGCTGTACACCGCCACGATGGTGCGGGTGAAGCCTGGAGCGGAGCAAGTGTCACACGTGTGGAATCAAATCAAATCAAATCAAAGAGCGCATAAAAAGAAATCCTCTGGGTTTCTTTTTATGGGATTATTTACAACTAGTGAGATGCAAGTGTGTGTGTGTGACAGCTCATGACTCACTGATGATCTTTAGATCTTCCCAGATTTCCAGCTTGTTGGCTGGTCTGTGAGACACGATGTGAGGGAAGAAGAAGAAGAAGCGGCGTTACGGAAAACACGCGGTAAAGCAACACGTTTGCTACAACAACAACAAAAGACATGGCGACAGACTGGCGCATTCACGTAAATACAGACACATAATTTGATCCTGGTAATATTAGCGCAGGTTCTGCCCGTTGTCTCCGTTTCCATGGCGATGGAACGACTAGCAGCTGCTGTGATTTCACTCAGCGTGTTTGTTTGTTAAATCTGACGACATCTGCTGTTCGCAGGGGTGGAAATGCAGAAGAGAGCAAATGTTTGTTTCTCTCATTCAGAGAATCGCTCTCGCTTTATCTGCCTTTACTTTCAATGTCATTAGACAAAGACAAACCTTCTCTCCTCGTCCTAAAGCAATGTTAAAGCACTTCCTTCGCTGCACGAGTTGAAGTCAGAAAGCACCGGGCCACTTTATTTGGGGAGGGTTTAAAACATCATATGAATTAGACTCCGTTCCTCAAAAGCGTCCTCGTCCCCGGAGGAAGCAACAAAGACGCCACTCTACTCACTTTGTCTTGAGCAGCGCGGTGAGACTCTCCGAGTTCAGCTGATTGACGATGGCTTCCTTTAGTGGGGGCAGCATGGACAGCACTACAATACACACACACACACACACACACACACACACGTGTCACGAGTGGAGCTCATCTGCCACCGTCATGAGAAGGGTTCAGAGGAGGCAGGTGTTCACCCGTCATGTTGCAGGTCCTCTGGTTGCTCTCGAAGTGGAACTGCCGTCGGGCCTGGGCGATGTACTCGGTCGCCTCCTTCTCCTGGAACTCACTGAGCCTCTTCTGGGCATATCGACCCAGGAAGTACACTCCTGAGGATCAGCAACAAACACAAAGCATGACACGCCGGGATCGAGCACCGACAAATAACTCTTATTAGGAATGATGAGTAAAGCTTCAAGACTTTGGTAATTAGCTGAACTGCAAGTTCTTGTGTTAGTTAGGGCGCACACACACATATTTGGGGATGAATGAATTCAACAGTACGCTTTTAAATTGTTTACTTAAACTAGATTATTGTCAAGCAAAAAAATATTTATTTTTATTCTATTTTTGCTTGAGACAGAAACTCAATGACAAAACTTAAGATAATTTATCGCGTCGCGTTAGAGCAGCTTAGCGATGCTATGCTAACATGTAGCCTGGCTGCTGCTGATCACCATTGAACGTCACACCAGACTTCATTCAAATCTTAGGCAATTTAAAGAGGTTGGAATTCTATTTCCAAATCAAGTAATATAGAATGTTTTGACGCAATGTACAAACAATACACGAAACACTGATTTCGATGATAAAATAACTTGTGCTGTCTAGTCGTATCAGTTCTTTGACATTATAGTAGATTAACTTAACACGCTGTTAGTGGTCTAAGACCTGTACATTTTAGCTCGGTGGGAAGCTAACAGTTACCTCCAACTACAGCTCCCGTGAAAATAAACTTCCTTTTGTGGCGTTTCACAAAATTCCAGACGGATGAAAACATCCCGAATGACTGTTTCACAAAATACAACTCGGGGTAAAACACACTCCGTTTCAATAACTGTGCTGACTAGTTGACGGACATGTTAACTTCGGCTAGTTAGCATCTACTTGCTACCATGCTAACTGTCAAAAGTGCCAAAGTACGCCGGTGAAAGTAAGGCACAGTGCATTGTACAATTTCCGGTAAATTATTTCAAAATAAAATACAAATCAACAGCTTCAGTTGAAGACGTACTGACATTAAACCCTGAGCAGTTCTCTGCGTAGGCAATGTGTGTGTAACAATTTTCACAGCAACATTAAAAAAAAGTATGGAAACAGCCAAATCATTGCAAGAAGAAGAGAGAAATTAAAAACAAAATCATTTTTTGACTGAATTATCTTCTTTTCCGGTATATACTCGGTGAACAGTTGTGAGCTTGATACATCAGCCGTCGAGCTTTCGTCATGTCCGGAACTGGTCCGGTTAATATTATCTTCCCCCCACGAGAACGAGTTAAGTTACAAGGCGTGTGAACTGCAACCAAAGAAATTGTAGTGAAAAGAAAAGAAATAGGCTTAACTCCCTCACCATTTGCCAATAGTGTGAGTTTTGTTCAGTATATTAAGAAGTAGCAGTTGCCATGGGAACAGAGGAGGGCCGTAAAGCGGATTCGGAGGAGAGTTTTTATCCGAGTGAGAAGGACATCGAGAAGTGGATGTCCTGCGCCTTTGACATGGTGAGGGACAAATGATGTGACGTAGATTTTAACCTCTAATATCTGTCAGGGATGTCTACTTATTAACTACAGATAATCTTCCAGTGATACATATGGCATATATATATATTTGCTGAAATGATAATTGTACAGTATTGAAAGATGATAAACAAACATTTAATTACTTAAGGAAAAGTGGCAAATAGAACCTTTTTACAGGAAACCATTAATCAATTACGGCAAAAAGTAATTGGTAAATTTGTATTTTTTTCTCATTAACGTCCATATAGAAATGCTACACATAAAAATGGGGGGGGGGAACTCAACCATAAATAGTGCAACTCTAAAAACTAAACAATAAAAAACAAACAGAAAATAAAACCATTGTTAAGGCTTAAAAACTACAGCCAGATCTTTTTTTTTAAAATGTATTATCTTTTTAAGAGCTTGCTGGTTTATTATGTAGAGAAGGTGAGTTCAGAGGCATAAAAAAATAAGTCCAACCTGTCATACCAGGTCGTTGACCTGCTGTACATGTGTGACGCCGCAGGCCAAAGACGCTCTGCAGAACGGGGAGGTGCCGGTCGGGTGTCTGATGGTCTACGCCGACGAAGTCGTGGGAAAAGGTCGCAATGAAGTCAACGAGACCAAAAATGTAGGCAAACTTTGACCGAACTCCAGCTATTCTCCTTTGCTTCTGTGGCTGAGAAATCAACGTCACGATGCAGACCAGCAGAAAGCATGAAGTCATCAAACCACCACTATAGCTTCACATTTGGGCAATTTACTCACCCACAGCTAATTTAATTAGAGGTGAACTGAAGTGCTTTAAATTAAAATCCAATATATTGCAAATGTTGGTGCTGAACTTTCACTTGTAAAAACCTTCATTTTCCAAAGAGAGTTTGGCCTCTGAAGCAGAACACGTGTGTGTGTGTGTGTGTGTGTGTGTGTGTGTGTGTGTTTGTTAGGCGACCCGACACGCCGAGATGGTGGCCCTGGATCAGCTCCTGGACTGGTGTCGCCGCGGCAACTTGGAAGTGAGCGGCGTGTGCCAGCAAACGGCGCTGTACGTCACGGTGGAGCCGTGCGTCATGTGTGCCGCAGCCCTCCGCCTCCTCCGTATCCTCTCCCCGCGCGCGTGCGCGCGTGTGCGTGTGCGTGTGCGCGTGCGTGTGTGTGTGTGTTTGTGTGTTGACAGCCGTTGTTCCTTGACCTTCCGTCAGACATCCCAGTGGTGGCGTACGGCTGCAGGAACGAGCGGTTCGGCGGCTGCGGCTCTGTTCTGGACGTCTCGTCCGCACACTTACCCGAGACCGGCACCGCGTTCAAGGTGTTTGCTCGAGGTTGTTTTTTGTGTCCTTTTAAAAGTGACGTGCTGCTTGTGTGTTGACGTGGAAGTGTGTGTGTGTGTGTGTGTGTGTGTGTGTGTGTGTGTGTGTGTGTGTGTGTGTGTGTGTATTCAGTGTGTTCCAGGTCACAGGGCAGAAGAAGCTGTGGAGATGCTGAAGTCTTTCTACAAACAGGAGAATCCAAACGGTGATCAGAACTCTTCTCTTCTTCTCATTTCTATTTTGCGAGTTTGTCTTATCTTTCATCTTGTTTTATCCTTGAAACACTTCTCTACTCCTTCATCGTGTACTTGATGCTGTTGCACAAGGAACAGCGTTCATATATTCATTCACTTCCTTTCTCAAATGTTCTCCTCTGTGTTTTTCCTTCTCTCCGTTTCAGCCCCGAAACCCAAACGAGGAAGAACTGAGCTCTTCTAGACGCATCGCTTCTATGTTTAGTTTTTGTGTATAAAAATAAAAGACATTATAAATCATTCCGACCTCCTGGGACATTTGCTGCCATTCCCACCAGCGTGCCACCAGGGGGAGCAACACTGACTCACACACACACACACTTCTACTTTCTCACTTTGTTCTATCAGCTCTCTCTACAACAAACTGAAATGAACACGAGGAAATCTGAATTTTCAGCAGAGGATCCAGTTGTTAAATTTCACTCTTCGGATGTAAAACGCACCACTTCCTGAACTTCACATCTGCTCATAGAACACAAATCACTTTCGCTTCCTCTCTCACACACACACACACACACACACACACACACACACACTGGGTGTGTTCAACGTATCTGCAGCTGGATAGAGTTGAAAAACACGGTATGCGTATATGTTTGTATTTGAGACCTGTGCGTGTGTGTGTGTGTGTGCGTGTGTTCCAGGTGTCCTGCTGTTTGTTCCAACAAAGAAAAAAATTGGTTTTAAACTCTCACTTTTCTTACTTGTGTCTTTCAATCTTCTCCACTTCCTTCCATCCATTTTGTGGCTGACAACTTTGCTTCCTCCCTCCTTCCTTCCGTCCTCCTTCCTTCCTGCTTCCTTCCTTTTATTTATATCATATTCTCCCGTCTTTCACCTCTTTTCCATCACCTTTTTATACATCTGTTACTCTTGTCAGTATCCGGTTGTTGTACAATTCCCCTCGTTGGGTTTTTCATTAAATGTATTTCCTTCTTTCTTTACTCCGCCCAGTTTCTACTTCCTCTTACGTTTTTTTTTGTTTCCTGTCCTCACTTTCCTTATTTCCTGCTCATTTCTTTGCCTTCCCCCAATCTTCCTCCCATCTCTCCATTTTCCTGCTACACCCCCTCTACCTCCTTTCCGTCCGTCCTTCCTTCCTTCCTTCCTCACTTTCTTTCTCACCTTGCATTTCTTCATTCTTATTGTTATTCCACTTCCTTTTTACCGTTTGCTTGATTACTTCCTTCCTTCTTTCATCTTATTTCCTCTTCTCTTTCCTGTTTTCTTTCTTGCATTGATGGTTCAGTTCTAATTTAGTTTTTTTCTTTCTTTCCTTCCTTCCTTCCCTCCCTTCCCTCCTTTCCTTCCTTCCTTCCTTCCCTTCCTTCCTTCCTTCCTTCCCTCCCTTCCTTCCCTCCCTCCCTCCCTCCCTCCAACGTCTCGGTCTCCTCCAGAGAGACTTGTACTTCCTCTTCAGTGTAAAGCAAATATCAGGAGTCTATCTTATATATATATATATATATAATATCTAAAAACGACGGAGTCCAGCTTCCTCTCTGCTCATTAGCATGTAAATATATGCTAGATCATGCACATCAGAATAGTCTTCGTTTGAATGTGTCACCTCAGGAGTGGAGGAGTTGACGTGTTAATGCAGAGAAACACACACACGCACGCATGCATAGTGAGCTGTGTGTGTGTGTGTGTGTGTGTGTGTGTGTGTGTGTGTGTGTGTGTCACGCAGCTTCGTCGGAATGGAGCGCTCACTTTGTTTTGTTTTTTATTCTCTTTAGTATAACTTTTACTTTGACACTATTGCTTTTATTGTGACAGTCTTGCGTTTATTGTGACGTCCTCTCCACCTGAAGAAGTCAACAGGTTTAATTTATTTATTTGTTGTCTTTTTTATTCCTCCATCAGTTCGAACCTGAACTCTCCAGCTTATTCATTTCTGCTGACTGGAGGGGAGGCAGTTTACCCTGTGTTTGGAGTTTGGGTTTCCATGGTGACAGGAGAGCTGGGAAAGCATTTGGCTAAACTGAAGACATTCCTCTGGGCCGGTGAATCGATTCCCCAGATGTTCGCTGGTCACACGGACTCACATTGATTTCTGGGACTTTAGAGAACGATCCTTTTGGGTCTGATGACGTTCTCCTCAATACTCAGAAGTTAATTAAATCTCGTTATAAAAACTCACTGGATCCAAACAGGACTTTTCCACTCCAGCTTTATTGATTTGTTTCCTCATACATGAGATGAACAATGATGGTCTTCAACACGTTATGGATCTCCAGACGTTTCACAGAAGCAGATGATTCACTTTGAGAAGTAGTTCATACCAGAAAAGCAGATTACAAATATTGATGACGTGTGTGTAGTTTTTAGTGTGATGTAGATGTGTGTTTGTGTGTTTTGTCCACTGTCCTCCACATAACAAAGACCGTTACAAAACAAAACAATTGGTCACCTTTCCTTCTATACTTACATTTTACTGCTCATTTAGTTTTTTCAATATGTTGTTGTTGTTGTTGTTGTATAGTTCAAAGGTTAACTGTTATTCTTTCACTTCCAGAGAGGGTCGCTTGTTTTGCGTTACTGGGCTGTCCTGGGTGGGCGGGGCACGACGACGACTCCCACACCCGCACAGTCAGGCCAGGGTCACTCACCTTTGACCTTTGCTGAGGGACGCAAAGAGGACAGAGGGGAGGGTCAGTGGAGTCTGCAGCCTGTGTGTGTGTGTGTGTGTGTGTGTGTGTGTGTGTGTGTGTGCGCGCGCGCGATGTGTGTGCGCGCGCGTTGTGTACCTGTGTGTGGCTGGTCCCAGATGTAGCTGTTGAGGACGTCTCCCACAGTGTAGAACACACAGATCACCGCCATCATGGCGCTGAAGAAGGACTCTTCGAGCTAGCTGGTGTGGAGGCGCTCTAGCACCGGGTAGACTCACACACACGTCACCTGGTGCACTCAGCACGTCCTGGGGGGGCGCAGGGGGCCGCAGTTAGTGTGGAGTCATGTGCATACGTTCCATTGGTTCAGTTAGTGGGCGGTGGACTGGTCTCTGCTGGGGGACCTGGGGCGGTCCACAGTGGACTGGTCTCTACAGGGGGACCTGGGGGGGTCCACAGTGGACTGGTCTCTACAGGGGGACCTGGGGGGGTCCACAGTGGACTGGTCTCTGCTGGGGGACCTGGGTGGGGTCCATACGGGATCTAGACTAAAATAACAATTAAACCCTAACCCAAAAAACAAACAAACACCCGTCTGACCTGCAGGGAACTAAACTGCAATAAACAATAAACAGTAAACAAACCAAATGAAGTCAACGACTCCTGATTTAGATTAAATATTAAAATCCAGTCTGAGCGTTCAATCCAAACACAAACCAACACCACGAGGCACTAAAGCACAGCTGGAATGACCCCGTCCACTAACTGCAGGAAACAGGAAGTGCTCAGGTACCAGAGGACGTATCCCACGCCGAAGAAGCACACGGCCGCCAGACCCCACGACCTGCTGGGGTACCGGTGGTTGGTGGTCCGCATCTCGATGATGATGAAGGGCAGAACGGTGGTGTGCTGAGGGGAAGGAGGGAGAATTAATGATTTGTGTGTGTGTGTGTGTTCTTCCTAAACACACACATTTAATGGAGGTCATGCCCCCCCCCCCCCCCCAAAGACTCTCATTAACTAGAAAATCAGTAAAAGAATAAAAGGTATCAAGTATCTTCCAGAGTGTGAAAGGTCGACAGGTTATAATCTCATACACACACACACACACACACTGACGCTGCACTTTTACCCAGAATGCCCTGGTGAGATTCCAACCTCTTGGCTGAGTTTAATCTATGCCGAGAAGACTCGTAAATGTCTCCGTCCCTGCCGCGCCCCCCCCCTCCCGAGGTTTGTGGTTTTGTCAGAGCAGCCAGCTTCATGGCTCCTTGGAAAATCCCCCTCCGCCCCCCCCAGCGGTGGTTCAATCCTGCGGTCGCAGCGTAAAAATGGGACAAACCATTGGGTTTGGGGGGGGCGGGTCCCGTAGCAGGGTTCAGGTTCACATGCTTAAGAAGCAGAGGAAGTGACCTGAGGGTTCGTCTTCTGCAATAAACCCCATATGGAATCAAGGGGAGTTTGAACCCTCCTCCTTACAGAAGCACAAAGTGTCTTACGGCTCCTGACCAGCAGGAGGCGACTCCCCCTCCTCCTTTTCTTTCGAATCAAACTTCTCCACCAGGAGAAACAAGGGCGCAAAAAAAGAAAAGGCAATATTTTTCACGAATGTGGATGAAAATGAAAAAACGCAGGTACCTAAAATAAAAAGAAATAGAAAGTTGCAATCTTACATTTTAATTTCAAACAACATCATGACCATCGCAGGTATTAATCTGTATCGCTATTAATGTCATTATTAATGCGTGTTGGAGGATGGAATTCATGTAGAAATAACTGCTGCTAATCACCTTCTGGTTCAGACCTTTGCAGGTGTGGAGCAGGAAACTGACTAAAAGCTTTTAATGTTTCATCCCCGAGAGCTTCTCAAGTGAAACGCATATTATGGACATCCCACTCATGTGAATGGAAGGGACTCACCATGCCGTGGTTGAGCCACTGGGGGATGAAGTTGTCCAGCAGCCGGGGGTAAACCAGCTCTCTGTCGTACAGGTAGAGGCTCCAGAAGGTGAACACCACGAACTGGAGAGAAGGACGAGAGGGGGAAGAGGGGGGGGGGGGGGGTCATCATCCAACACTCAAGTACAGATGTTTCCTTACTGAGCTGCTGCTTGTTGCCAGAATTCTGATAAGAAACAATCCTCATTTCCCCCCGTGTGTGACAGGAAACACACACACACACACACACACACACAGATACCCGCATGGACATGCATGCATACACACGCAAGTAATATATGCAACTGCACACCCGTGCATGCACTGGAATGAAACACACGCACAGACGCCTTATCAGGCTGGTGATAATCGTGTCCATTGTGCACATGTCCGTGTGTGTAACCTGAACTCTGTCTCACCAACACACACACACACACACATGCACGCATGCACACATTCAAGCAAACACACACACACACTTACAGTGTGTTAGACCGGTGTGTGCACACACACATACTAGCTGTTAAGAGCAGTTAGTTATCGCTTGTGTTTAGTGTGTGAGTGTGTAGTATGCGTATTCATTACTGTGTGTGTGTGTGTGTAAACATGGGATACGCTTGTGGTCAGACAGCCGTTCAGTTCAACCTCGTGCAGCAGCTAAAGGGCACCTTGCCAACTGAAGTCTTGAACAAAAGTGTGGGTGTGTTTGTGTGTGCGGTTTTTTGTGTGTTTGTGAGGCTTGACCATGCGAGTGCGTCTGCCGGCGGGCGGGAGAAACAGCTCGAGGATCAAACGGAGTCTGAAGCTGCTGTCGATTGTTTGTGTGATCTTCTTTAGGAGACATTCCTCACATTCCGAGGGTGGTCTGACGGCATTTAACATACATAGAAGAAAATGGGGGGAAATGTGCATGTTGATGGGGGGGGGGGGGGGGGTGATTCTGCAGAGGCATGAACTGGAACCTTTGATTGCTGCAAGCTAAGCAGATTCCTCCGAGGGCTTGTCTGTGCCTGTACTGTCTGTGTGTGTGTGGGTGTGCGTGTCTGCGTGTGCGTCCCCCCCCCCCCCCGCTCACCGCTCCCACGGGGAAGGCCAGCACGGCCATCATCCAGTCCCTCAGGCCGACCAGCTTCCTCAGCTGGCGCTCCTGCTCCCTGCTGTCGCCTCCTTTGGTCAGCAGGCAGGAGACGTCGATGAGGACGCACAGCCCGAAGAAGACCGCCTGGATCACCTGCGGGGGGGACAGGGACAGCAGGGGGGGTGGGACAGGGGGACTTTAAATTTTTGGGATATCTTTATTGACATGTAAACAATAAGACATTCAAAGCTTAAGAGTATTAAAAATAAGGACATTCAGTCAACAAAACAACCAGAGGGAGCAGAGCAGCTCTCGCTGGTATTTGCCCGTCGCCTAGCAACAGCGCTCTCAAAGCAAAAACACATCCGGTACTTGACTTGGCCGCATCTCGTACAGGTTGTGAGTACAGTCAGTACAGAGTTGTGTGAGGATGAGAAGCACTTCTTCATCACGTCAGACGTCTTTATGGGAGATTTTGTCTTCCTTTATTTAAACGAACAGCAACAAATACACTCGGATCGTTAATGTCAAATGTAAATCAGGAAGAGAGATGAAAGCCTCCCGTCAACACGTCCACGATTCTCCTCCAGGGGAGACGAGGAGGAAGCCCCCCCCTACACACACACACACACACCACACACACTCCCCACACGCCTCCCGTTGGATCAGGTGCCGCCGGTGTGTGTGGATTTATCACTTATGTGTATTTATTCATCGTCCTTTTCATAGATACTGAGCTCACTACGCGTGTGTGCGTGTTTAATAGGAGTGTGTGTGTGTGTGTGTGTGTGTGCATGCGTGTTTAATGGGAGTGTTTGCGTCTTTAATAAAAGTGTGTGTGTGTGTGCGTGCATGAGTGTTAAATAGAAGTGTGTGTGTGTGTGCATGTGTGCGTGCATGAGTGTTTAATAGAAGTGTGTGTATGCGTGCATGCATGTTTAATAGAAGTGTGTGTGTGTGTGTGTGTGTGTGTGTGTGCGGTCATGCGTGTTTAATAGAAGTGTGTGTGTGTGTGTGTGTGTGCGCGGTCATGCGTGTTTAATAGAAGTGTGTGTGTGTGTGTGTGTGTGTGTGTGTGTGTGTGTGTGCGGTCATGCGTGTTTAATAGAAGTGTGTGTGTGTGTGTGTGTGTGCGCGGTCATGCGTGTTTAATAGAAGTGTGTGTGTGTGTGTGTGTGTGTGTGTGGTCATGCGTGTTTAATAGAAGTGTGTGTGTGTGTGTGTCAATGCAAGTATAAGTTCAACACTTGGATTTAGATCGGCTGCAACATAAATAATGGGTTTCTATGAGAACTCAGCTGGCGATGTGGCTCTGAACGAACACACACACTCAAACAGACACACACAGTGTGTGATTGAGAGCCAGATGTTGCAGTGGTTTGTGTGTGTGTGTGTTTCCTGGCTGCTGGCTTAATTAACAGCACCGTTAACCAGGAGGAGAGGTCTAATGTGGAAAATATGACACAGCTGTTTCTGTCTCCCCCCCCCCCCCCCCACACACACACATTATTAAAGCATGTGCGTCTCTGGAACCTCTTTAGATATTTTGTCACGTATCCTTGGGTTAAATGTGGAATACCTCATAATCAAGGAGTATTATTTTAGGAATGGATGTGAATGTTGGATGAGAGCCGCTCACTTTGTTGTTATTTTAAAGGCGGATATAATTATAATTATATTATAGTAACATTATAATGCACATCCCTTCTAAAAGCAATGCATTTTTAAAAGTGGACATACTATGCTTATAAAAGGCCGGCTAACTGAATCCGCCTCACAAAGAGACGGCTCTTTGTGAGTCCATGTGTGCTTGCGTTGTGCAGGACTGTGTGTGTGTGTGTGTCTTCTTGCCAGTTGACTCTTGCAATTACGGAGCTATATTTACTTCTCACATAGAAGTCGTTCTATTGGTTGTGAGGCTTCATGCGTCCTGTTGCATTCATAAGACGCGAGAGTTTTTATTTTTATAAAACCATTCTGGTTCTTCCATGTTCATTTCAAATGCTAAACAGTCGTTATCGAGCTGAAATAATCTTGTTCCGTCCCCCCGATGTGGTTCATTGAGAGAAACGTGTAGATAATGTAATGTAATCTTGAATGGAGTTATGTTGAATAACAGTGCGCTCTTATTTTGAAATAAGGGGTAAAGGAAACACTGAACCACTTCAAAAGAATATAACCAGTTTAAATAAGTCATTCATAATCTTTATTTTGTTTATTTTTAATATAATGTATGTATTTGTTTGTGTATTATGTTAACCTGAAGGGGGGGACATGTCTTACTTCCGGGCAGTCTTCTCACAAACCCTCATGAACGCGGGGCGCGCTCCCGCGTAAGGGGAAGCGCATTTCATGGCTCGAGTGTGTTCTGCACCGCGACACCGGGCTCACCGAGACGAACCCCCTCTCTCCCCTTCTCTCCACCTCTCTCCCCTTCTCTCCACCTCTCTCCCCCCTCTACACACACGCTCGCCATCATGAACCTACGCGGTGGAATCAAACACCCGAATCATTTCAACCCAACACGATGCATCGTGTGTGTGTGTGTGTGTGTGTGTGTGTGTGTGTGTGTGTGTGTGCGCGTGTCACAGGGGGGCCGGGGGGGTTCGGACGGTGGTCGCCTCACCAGGTCGATGAAGGTCAGGAACTTCCAGCTGCCCCCGTAGGTCTGGTGCGCCGGCATGTCCAGCGCCTTGTAGTGGCAGAGGATGGAGAAGTAGGACAGCAGGATGGCGACCCGCAGCACCTGCGAGGGGATCAGCGCCATGATGCTCGCTCCCGCGTCCACCTGTGTACCTGCGGTCCTGCGTGCGCGCGGCGCGCTCGTCTCTTTCCGCCTTTTGATCCGGCTGCTTTCTTTCCTTTCTGGCGTTTTTTCGGCCCGTGTCTGCGCGGCTCGTGCGCCCCCCCCTAACTGTCGACTACTTCCGTGTTATGGTGACGATGCAAGGGGGAGGGGCCTGGAGGGCCGGGGGGCGTGGTATATAAGTACTGTTAGTTCATGTATGATCAACATTTTTTCTATTTTGTATTATTATTATTATTTCTCATATGTTGTGTGTTTGCTCAGTGCTTATAAGGTTTTAACTATTTAAAATATTGTTTTAATAATTGTTTATCTTGTAAAGCAGTGCACTGCAGGGTCTCTCAGTCCTGGTTCCGGGTCTCCCGGGCCTCCCTTTTCTCCAGCAGGTGCAGCATCGCGTCCTGCGTGTCCAGCAGCGCGGCACCAAGGATCCTTAAAGTTAACTCTCCACATCGTACTCCAGACTGACTGAGGGTCGCAGTAGATTCATAGTAACAAACTGATTTAACCTGAAAGTGACAAAGAGGGAGGACGCCAATAGACATTTTTGAAAAAGATATCCGTCAGGCGAGGAAGGAGGTGATGCTGTTGCCACGGTGGCGCTGCACCGCTTCTCGGGTCACTGTGTTGTTATGGCACTTGCGGGTTTTCACAGATGGATGGCCTCGTGCAGAGGTTGAACATTCAATTAAATGTATCCTTTTTTTAATTCTACCCATGACAATGTTTGGTCTGCAACACAGCAAGTGGCAAATGATTAAAAACAGTGTAGATTTTTGTCAATATTTGTAACATCTAAAAGAGACTTAATAGCTATAGTTTCACATTTCAACAATTTCTCTTCCACATTCTTCCACTTTTGAGGTTCCAACAACTAAACTGATGGATAGGAAGTCAAAACGTACTCTTTAATATATGTGTGTGTTCTCCTTCTCTCTACCTGCGCTCACGGCCTTTCAACTTTAGATCTTGAGTGAAGCTTTAAAGCTGCATTCCACTCCACCGACCAGCAGGGGGCGACTCCTCTGATCCCTTAGAAGTCTATGAGAAGATCTCTACTCCCTCAGTAAACATTGTAAACATGAGTTTATGGTCTCAATCTCTAGTTCCAAGTGAATTATGGTCCATTTAAAGTCAAATAGACCACAAAGCAGGGGATGCTTTGGGGCGGGGCTTACCGTTATTGACAGGTTGCTACGTTGTTCTGTCTTTGAGGTGTCTGTGTTTTCATTGTTTATGAAAGTTAGTTATAACATTTTGGTTGTTCTCTTGTACTCAATGTAGCTCCACCCTCTCGTGGTTGCAGAAAAAACTAAATGTTGAAAAACCAAGAAGGCCAAAGCTAAAAACTCGAGGCTTCCAAACCGCAGACACTCCAAAGTCTGCTTTCACTTATGTCTGAGGTCAAATGGGTGGCGTGAGCGCCAAGTCATTTATTTACCTCTGCCATCGCTTTTGACGTTCTGCCAGCCAGCAGGGCTCCGCCCAAATAACCACTGATTAGGTTTTATTGGCGAACCGATGTGGGAATTCCAGAGCGACTGGCTTTTCGTTGTTTTAATCCAGATCAATGAAGCCGGCGGAAGCTTCAAATCCATCAAATCTTCACAGAGTCAACAAGACAATTGGATGTCACAGAGATTATAGCTGGGCTTTGGAAGAGTTTTTGTGGAAAATGCTGGAATGATTGGACGGAATGTTTTGACCCTTTAGTGTGTGTGTGTGTGTGTGTGTGAAAGCTCCCCTCTGTGGAAATAAGCCTCTCGACACACACACACACACACACACACACACACACACACACACACACACACACACACACACACACACAACTGAATCAATTTTTTAAATGTAGTTTATTTGGTATTTATTTGTTGTTTTTTAACAAACTAATTAAAAAATAATATTTCGAAAAGAAAATGAAAAGGAAAGGAAAAACATTTTTTGAAAAATAGATTTAAAAAGGAGAATCCCAGGAAATAAAAATAAAGAAAAAATATTCAAAAGATGTATTGAAAATAGAAAGTCTATATACAAATAAAGAATAATTGAAATAAAATAAATGATCAAATACAGAAAGATAATGAAATTAAATAAGGGAAGGCATGTCACATATCTTATTTTCTTCAAAATCCAAGGAAATATTTTAAAAGGTGTGTTTTGAGGGAACTAGTGGGATAATATATATAATAATACATATTTAAAAAAAGAAAATAATTAGAAAGATAATGAAAGAAGAATGCTGTAAGAGAAAAAATGTGTCCTTTTTTGTGACGTTCTATTATCTCATTGGTTCCCTCAGAACACAACTTTCTTTATTTTTGGCAAAATAATAAAGCTCATATTAAATATCATCAACGTGAACAGGCTGAAATTAACACACCGACTATTACCTCCGATGCCGACCAGTAGGGGGCGCTGGTCAGCCAAACAGCTGGTTGTGACATGTGTGCGCGTGCATGCACGCTGGTGTGTGTTTGGGTGTCACTCTCTCATCTATCAATCCGAACACACACCCTCTCTCTTTAAAGAATCCGTTAAAACTGTCGTCTGCCAGGTACTTTGACCTTTACCCTCCAGCTCTTATGTAACACTCGGGCTACACCTCACTGCACTGATGACAGCAGTTTGTGTGTGTGTGTGTGTGTGTGTGTGTGTGTGTGTGTGTGTGTGTGTGTGTGGGAGGGAGGAGGAAAGCCATGGTGACAAAGATTAATGTGTCAGTATAAAAGAACAGAATCAAAGCCCAGAAGACAGAAAGGTATCCAGTGTTAATGTGTGTGTGTTCATGTAAAAGAGTCACATTAGGACTAGGCGTGGTGGTGAGGGGAGCGGCCTCGCTGTGTGTGTGCGTGTGTGTGAGAGTGTGAGAGTGTGAGTAAGCATTAGTAATCAGTCAGTTGTCACAGAAGTGCTTTGTCTTGCAGAGTGTTACAGTTTGTCTCCAGGACAAGAGCCTGAGGCGACTGCCTGCATGTGTGTGTGTGTGTGTGTGTTTTTATGTGCGTGTGTGTCTACCTCTCTTATTCAACTTCAAAAAGCTACTCAGCAGGTTTCTTGTCCGCGTCGTGTTTCTTTCTGTACGGTAAATGCAAACAATGGAGAGAGGATTTAGAGTTCCAGCGAAGGGCTTAAAAGTAAAGCGTGACACATGACTCACTTCCTCTGACTCGTGGCCTCAGTCGATACTCCAAACGTCATGCTAATGCGCGATAATGCTAAGCAGCTACAGGCAATTAGCATTATCTTTGCGCTTGCATTTCCTGTGACTGCAGGACCCAAGGTCAGCTTCCAATTCAGGTCGAGTCCCAAGAAGAGAATGAACTTGAATCCGTCTCAGACCCTTTTTTTGGTCTCCATTGTGACTCGGCCTCTGTGGTCTCGACAACACTGCATAACACTTTATTAAAGTCTCATTGTTTTCATGTGAACCATCCAAAGAGACATATTCACATCAATAACATGCTGGATCCTGGAGGAGAGGAGGAGGCCGAAGCAAAAGAGGGAAAATAATCGCACTTCATCAAAATGACAGCCGCTGGGCAGATTATCACAGCAATGAGTCATGTGTGCACATTTGCTGTTGAAGATGAAATCATGATTTCAGGATTGGAACAGTGACATTCGGAGGTTTTCTGCTGGTCGACGCTCACGTGCGTGCATCTGTTCGGGTTGGCGCGTTTCGGGCTCGGGGACGGCCGTCCTGCTGTACGCTGGGGGATGAAAAGCAGATGCAAATCGGCGGCATCG